TTTTTCATACCATGAATTCCAAAGATACAGCATTTGAAATACACTTTTGCTTATTTAAATGACATTAAATACCTTGCACAGACATCTCAATCACTTCCATAAATAACAAAAGAAGTTCCTTTTCAAAGGGAAGGACAGGGTTATTAGTTTTCACATTAACTCATCAGTTCAAAGATAGACTGGATTTACAGTGATCTATTGATCACCAGAACTGTATTAAAAATTAAGATCAAACTTAGTATCTGTTTCTTAATTAAAAAAACACAATTTAATTTAACATTTAAAATATTTTAAATTAGTAATTTATAATGTAATAATTAGAGGAGATGCAGGAAAAAGAATGAAAGTATATGAAAAGCAACATAATATTATGAGATAAAAAGATCATGTATTTATGTAATATAATGTGGATTTCTTTTCCCCATCATTAAATTAATAACTTGTTTTGTTTTGTTTTGGGAAAGTAGTAAAACCTGGTATCTTGTAAAACATGACACAGCCATCCTGACTGATGCTGAGCCATCATTTTGTTTAGTGCTGAATATTTGTATGGTACATGTTGATAAATCATATGAATGTCATGCAAATATCTGTACAGTGATTTCTTTGATAAGGGACTCGCAGGTGATTCACTGCACCTAACTGCAAGGCTGACAGAGTACTGTGAAGTCTCTGCAGCTTTTTGGATATGAGATGACAAACCGTAACCTTACAAAGTTGAAAAACATTGACTCTTCAGGGAAAAATCCTGACACGCTTCTACGACGATCCGATCAACACTGACCAAAATCATTTGCTTTTCTTTTAGAGTTCTAGCATAGCATGTCTTTCAAAAACTCTCAGAAATCACTGTGTTAGCTTCAAACTAAAAGTAGAAAATAAGAAAAGGTGTTTTGGAACAGCCTGGCCGGAGCCTGTACCAACAGACTAGCAAAGGATGCCAAGGTAAACGCTCTTTCTAACTCACTGGTCTCAACAGTAACCGATATCTAGGGTTTTATTTAGCTACCTGCTTTTTCCAGTACAAATCTGCAAACGAAGAGTAGTGGCTTAGCTGCTCAAGCTCTTATAATATTCACGTAAATGAGAAAGTCCACAGATAGTACTGAAATCCAGTAAGATTTCAAATATTGAGCTGTACAACTTTTCCCACTGTGTTTTGTGTCAGATCTCTTTCCATGTAAAAAACCCCCAGCCTTTGGGATCTAGCAATACATGAAGAAGACAGGGACATATTTCCATCTGAAAAATCTGCCTCCTTTCAAAAACTGCTCTCCGTAGCTCAGAGTGAGCTGTACTGGTTCATGTGTGTTCTTTTTTCTTTCTGTGCAAACGTATGTAAGAATCAAATACAAGTTCATTGAGAAATAAATTTTTCTCAAGGGACATTTGCGTAATACATTGTGCTATAATAAGACACAGCGATTCACCTATCAATGACGTAGAAGTTGTCACCGTCGTCCCCTTGATCAATGACGTGTTCCCCTCCTTCAACCAGCTTTTCAAACATTGCATCTAACACCTGAGACATCTGTTCCTATTTAAAAGAACACAGACAAAACCCAGAAGAAATTATCATCTGCTTTTAAAATTTTACTCTTCAAATTAACAAACTGTTCAGCCTCCCAAATATGCAGATAAAATCTGCTCACGGATGGAAAATATTAATGCTACAGAAATGTGTGGATCAATCAGAAAGACAGTTTTTATGTAGTATTAAGTGTTAGCTTTTTCCTCTTCCAGTGTTCAGAGCCCAGCTTCCCTTCTTGTCCCTGCCAATGAAAACATAGATCTTGCCTGCAATATAAATTGCTCATGAGCATCCAAAGATAGAATTTCACCCTTCACAATTGCGTAACTTTATAGAGTTAAAAGAAAAAAACTGTATCCTTTATTGCCAAAAATACATTCACCTGGTTTTGTCTTTAGAACTATTTTACAGAATTTTAAGTTTCAAAATGATTGTAAATTATTTTGAAAATCTAAGTTATACAGTGCCTGCACAATGGTGGGATAGATGGAAAGGTCTGCAGTGTTTTGGTTGAAGGACTCATTGGGAAGTAGGAATTTACTCACAGCTATAAAACTACTTTGTTAATTTGAATGGAATACAAATGTTGAGAGAGAAATGTTAACAGACTAACAAAATGTCATCATCTGAATTATGACTGTCTAATAACAAAATCAAATCACTAATTACATAATTTTTCTTGTTTGGTGTAAATCTGCTAAAACTTAACTATTCACATTTAAAAAACCCAAACACAGTTCATTGTGGATTAACGATAATTCAAATTGTATTTTCATATCTAGCAATATGCCTAAAATTCTGACAATAAACACAAAATTATCTTCTACTTTTTGAAACTTATTAAATATGTATCATGCTGGAACAAGCAGGTTCTAGTGAAAACCACTGTAAAAAAAAAGCCTGTGGATTTAGATGCCCACGCATTTTACAATGATTTAATTCATCGCATTTCCACCCAGTGAAAGATGGCATTTGCTTTTCCAAACAAGAGCAGCCTAAGCCAGTCCTCTAGAGTTCTTCTGCAGCCCGTGGACACAGATAACCACACTAGATAGCTTAGAATCATTCTCTAGAGAGTCCCCTTTCCTTCCTCTGCTGATAGAGAGATCTACTATAACTCACAGCTAGATACTTAACTTTTAGATAGATAAAATCAGGTGGAATGAATTCCATCCTTATTCTGTTGTATTTCTTCACTTACTCAAAGCTTTCAAAAGTATCAGCAGTACCATGTTATCCAAGCCTTTTTTAAAAATGGAAGCTAAATACAATTTTACTTCACAGAGTTCATTGTGTGTGGACACAAAGAACAACAGAATGGCAGCATCCATCCTCAGTGCAACTGATCATGGTAAAATACTGTAAGACATCATGCAGCCTACCTAGGCCAGCAAGGAATCATTTAACTATGTCTCTAGTACCTTTTTTAGACAGGTATGTATTTGCAAAAAGAAGGATCATTTTACTATCAGGGTTATAGTTCATTCCAGAGAAAGAGAAAAGTGTGCGTGTGCCATTAGGAGAGACTGAAAATTAGGTACAGGAGTTACCTTTTCAAAACTTTCATGCTTAATAGGTATTATTACATCAGTCTTTTCAGCTTTCCCTATGTAAACTAAAAGGAACTCCTCCAGAATCTGCAAAACTGACATCAGTTAGTTGACTAAAGCATTTGAAGAAACCCATTCCCTTCCCCTTGCTTGACATCTGAATTGGCCAAGTGGCTCCCCTCGACAGCCCCTGGCTTGCCATTTCAAAACGAGTAAGAACATGAAGAATGCTCTATGGGAGGGTAGAGGGCATTTGTTATCCTCTACATGCAAGCAATGCAAGAAAAACGTATTATAGGGCCCTGATCCTTGGAAATTAAAATACTCCCAAGACATCTTAGAAAAAAGATTGAACTAAAAAGCTAGTTATTTGCAGTACTGAAGGAATAATACAAACAGTTATAATCTTTATGCAGTGTGCTTCATCTCAGATTTCAGGTTAGAACATTTTCAATCTCATAATTCTGAATCAAGCTCACCAAAACACAACTTTTCTGGTAGGTAAAGCTATAACTTTTTTAGACAGAGGACAATTCACAAATAAAATTCCCTTTTAAAAAAAAATGTTTTAAACACGTGAAGGTATTTAATACATTTGAGAGCTGTCTATTATCTGCTGAAGTATTGCACATGTATTTTAACTTTCTAAATAAATTACAAGTAACTTAAAGACAACTGGTCCCTTTCCCAAAGCTTTCTATATAAAATTAAGATAGAGCAGACTGCAATAACCAAACCAGGCACACAGTTTTTGCTTTTACAGTGAGAATTACAAAACTTGCTTGCCTAGCTTGCTATGTGAATCCTCTTGATTCTTTACCAGACTAAGGCTCAATTTACTGGCACCCTCCACAGTTATTTTGAAAAGATAAAGATGGGTAATTTTAGAATTAAAAAGTAGATCTGTTGTCATACACAGAATTAATTCTGGTGTTTTGTAAAACGGTGTAGTCTGAAAGTTTTTCTTCCTTAAAGCAGTTCTAGCTTTAAAAAACACACATATTAAATGAAAACAGGAAAAGGTTTTTTATATATCTGTGTTTGTATATCTGCTATGTGTAATGCTCTGGCAATTTGGTAATCAACATTCTAAAGAATACTTTAAAAACATGATAAACTTCTTAACAGATATAAAATTTATAAAGAATCTGCAGTATTAACCAAGCATGTTGTGCAATATTTGTGAATTCTGCTAAAATTTCATTATCTTAATACATTATTTTTTTTCAAATATAACAAAGCACCTATTTTTCTTAAGGATAATGCAGTCTAGAAATATAATGAAACAAAACTAATATTTAAATTATTTGAAATTCGATTGTTTCTATAATGTTTATTTACATACTCTGATTAAAACATGCAATGGATTTTTTTTTTTCCACTTTAAACTGTGAAGCATGTAAATGCTTCAAAAAAGGAACATTTCTGAGAAAATTATGGGAACCTTGCATTGTTGCCATGAAAGCACACTTTGATCTCCATCTTTTGTGATGGAGAAAATATTTTAACTTCCTTAAAAGCAAGGAGGCTGAATGAGAAATTAGATTTTCTGAAAGACACATTCACAATACAAACCAAAGTCATCTATCAAGATTTTCTTTTCATAAAGATTTTTTTTTGAAGTATAGTTACTGCATTTCTCTCAAAAAAGTCTTTCTAACAATTGGACTTTAATGACAGAACATGATTGCACAAAATAATTTACTAGACAAGTGAATAAACATGCCATAGTTACAGCCATCATTACTGTCTCAATTGCTCTTGCCTTCGAGTGTGGATTTAACTGCTGGGAAGCAGAAGTACAAAGACGTATTAGCTCCCTTACCAGCATCAGCCAGCATGATATATCCTCTCATATCACCTAAAGTGGAGAAAATTGTTTTCTTCCCTTTCTTAGACCAATATGGTACCTACCCCGGTTTTGTACCAACTTAATTGAATTCTGCTAGTAAAGTTCTTTTGCATATTTAGATCAGTCAGAATCAGAGACTACAACTATGATGTGGCCACATGAACCTCTAGCATAGAAGCAGAACTTTAATGTCAAAACATACCTCTGGTAGTTATTGTGGTGCCCACGAACATCATAGCACCTAAGCAGAGGTTTTATGAATTGCTGTTATGAGTTAGGAAATACCGTACTGTGCATAAAGTGAAACTGAGATACCAGGTGTCTTTGTGAATCTAGGCCTATGGTGATACCCATGCATAAGTAAGGTGTGTGCAAGCCTGATGTATTGCTATTTCATACCTGAAATGTACAAAATGGTGTGTGCGTTTACATCAGTTACAAAAGACATGACATGAGATTGACAGGAACAAAGCCCCAGACAGGAATGATAACTGGTTTACCAAGAACATCCTCCTGGAACAGTGTCTGATTCCATCCTTCTTGCCAGGACAAGTGAAACACTGCAAATAATCACTCCCAGCTCTCCTAACGTATACTTTGTATCACATGAAGTACCGTCCTCCAGGTGCATATTGCATTATTTGAAAATAGCATGCAATTTCTTTCAAGCCAACAAAACAAACATGGCAATTGCATCTGAAGACAATTCCTTGGAAAAAAATGTTCAGTTAGATAATGGACATTAAATAGAATTAAAACTGCATTGTATTTATTATACATTTGTCCTGGTTTTGGCAAGGATAGAGTTAATTTCCCAAGGAGCCAGGACAGGTGAGCCAAGCTGGGCAGGGGCTATTGCATACCATGTGACGTCATGCTCACCATAAAAGGGGGCTAGGCAGGCAAGGGCGGGCTCGGAGTGGCTCCGGGATGGGCTGAGCGTCAGGTTGTCCGGTAAATTGTTCTCTGTTATCACCCATTGTTACTATCTGTTATCAGTACTGTTGTTGATTGTTTTCCCTCTCCCTTGCTGTCCCAGCAAACTGCCCTTATCCCAACCCTCGAGGCTTTGCCGTTGTTTTTCCGTGGCGCTCAGCTGCCGGCTGGGCCTAAACCACGTCAACATTTCGCACAGATTAAAAATCCAGTCACTTGTATGTCCTTGCAAGACAGATTTTGATTCATTCAGGAGAGCTGATAGACCATGACATGTCCTTCCCTAATGCCAACTGCTCTTTTAACTGCCAGACTACCAGGTGATTTGCTACCACTGTGACAGGTACGTGGCTTCTTAATATCAATTTATAAATCTACTGTGAGCTATTTTGTAAAGGAAAAAGAACAAAGTTCTCCCTGCTAAACTCAGCCACTCAAAAACCGGGGCTTCCAAGAAGCATCAATGTTTAAACTGCTGATACAAACGTTTGCTGTTTGACAAAGTGCTACCCCTTCTACCCATTCTGAATCAATGGAGGCACTGTAGATAAAATGGAAAGTAGGACACAATTGTCACCGGGACTCATGACACTGCCAAACGTTAAAAGTAACTTTTGAAAAATTTCCTTCCCTACTATTTAGGAAAAAGTATTCAGGATACAGAAGGC